AAGTTCAGTAATAACAAATGCAAATGTGCTTCATCCAAAATCCCACTATATGAAAGACACCTTCTCCCGTGGTTGTTTACATGTGCGTGTGTGTGTGGCTGTGTGGGTGTGGGGATAACTGAGTGTGCGTGTTCCTCTCATTACCCAGTTTCCAATCCCGTGAATAGTGCCAATGGGACCCGGGAGATACCTGAATTGCAGTCGAGTCCAGTCGAGATGAGAAAGCTCTTTGTGAATCATACCTTATTCGCTAAAAGCACCCGCATCGAAACAAGTACTTACCCAGTCAACTGAGGCCGAATCCGTTTACCGAAAGCAGAATAGCCCTTTATTACTCGGCTTCCTCGTCAGTTCCGGGTTCACACGTAGATATCCTTTAAATGGGTGATTTCGAATGATCATTAATTCCTCCTGCGTTCGGCAATTGGTTGTTGAGCCGATCTATTGTCAAGCGTGACTGTCTTAACCAGTAGGAAAGATGGCAAAAGTAGGCCATCAGCCTATCAGCCGTGAAATGGGCAGATAAACCGCAGCACCCAGAATCAATCTGTCTCCATTGTCAGACCAGCGAGGAAGCAAAAACTTTCTCACTCTCTCCGTGTTTGACAGTCGATCTGGGGTTTCATTTAAACAACAACATGGCAGCAACAGGGTACGAATTGCGGTGCCCACTTGAATGGCCGAACAGAAAGACAGAAATGAATTTACCCACCGAACATGAAAGCTTCACACCCCAACTACTTTGTTGAATTGCCCAACCGTTAGGCCGCGAGGACAAAAAGAGCTTGACTATTTTTAACGTACTACTGACGCCAAGCTAATCAGTAGTACAAGGGTTGTAAGAAGGAGTAAATATAACAGTTTGATTAAGAACTTAGTCGCCCTAGGTTGTTTAAGGTTAATGGCCTTTCATAATAACCGTCACTTCAACTAAGTTACTTTCTTTTATAGCAAGTAGGTTTCAAAACTTTGAGTACATTTTGAATAAGCTGATGGAAGAATGATAGTTGAATTTTCCCACATTGGGAAAGCTCAACCTTCAATCCCTAACTCACCTTAGGCAACTGACCCCAGCAAACTTATCACATGTCTTGCCTTTGCCCTAGTGCATTCGTTATAACAAGATAGGCGAACTAGTAAGCGAATAGTTATGCCCACTTTTCGAGAGGTCACTATAAAATAATGAGTTGATCTGTTCGCTGTTATGATGCAGCGACTTAGCGTGCAATTCGACAAAGGGTGGCTATACACAAAACCGCCTACAGAAGCAGTTGGATCAGAAGTTCGGTGCAGGCAGATCATACAGCAGAAAGTGGACAGGAAATTGAGTGGCCTCAAACTGGGTATGTCTGTAACAAGCGTAAAATTAGAGAAGCGATTGGAATCAACCAAAATGATGCAAAAAATTAAGTAAGAACTTTTGATGCTGATTGATAGACTTAATGAGAGAGAGTGTGTGTGTGTTGAGCCACCTGAAATAGGTTGCGACTCAACTGGCATTTTCTTGTCATGGTTCCAGTGACGGTCACTTCTCCATGCATCTTAGGTCACACTTTA